ATGAATCAATGTTACGGAAGTTGTAGCTATCAACTAGAAGCTTTTAGTAACAGCTACTACTGAATTTTATACAGGATGTGGCAAACCAAATTTATAATTTTTTAAATGTAACACCCAGTATACAGGGTGTCCCGCATAAGAACCGACACAGGGCAGATGCATGTAGGGGTGTCCAAAATATTGTAATTTAACCAAAATTATCTATATACAAAGTTGCACTCCTGAGGAGTTATTAGCCCCCAAAGTGGGACCCTAAATTTCGAAAAAAATTAATATCTCTGCAATACCTTACCGCAGAAGAACCAAATTTGGTCCATGATTTAGATTTATTATTGGTTTTCTTTTACTATGATTTAAAGTTAATTGAAGCATTACAAGGTGTTCATTGGGGATGACTCACCCCTAAAATTATATCGAACTTTTTTTTCATTGACTGAATTGAAAAATAGTAATATTAATTCATAGCAGAATGTAATTAAATTTTTTTTTACTCCTGTTAAATTTTAAAAAACTATGGTTTTCAAAAAAAAAACCGTATTAACTGACACAAGATTCTAACAGTATTCATTAGAAAATAATCAAAAAGTCAGTAGTAGGCTGTATCTTTCAAATTTGACAATTGGCCAAATAAATTTTACTTCACTTCTCTCCTAATTCTACAAAAAGAAAACAAGTACCTAGGTAGTTTTTAAATAAGCGAATATTGTATTAAGTAAATAACAAAAATAAATAATAAAAATAATAATTGATATTTTTTCAACAATCAGAGGCAATTGTTGAAATAAAATAATTTTATTACTAACTGACAAGTTTAAAAGATAAATTCATTGCCTACTACTGACTTTTCTATTATTTTCTAATAAACACTGTTAAAATTTTGTTTCAGTAATTAATACGGTTTTTCTTGAAAACCAGTTTTTTAAAATTTAACAAGAGTAAAAAATTTATTTAAATTAAATTCTGCTGTGAATTAATATTATTTTTCAATTCGGTCAATGAAAAAAAAGTTCGGTACAATTTTAGGGGTGAGTCATCCCCAATGAACACCTTGTAGTGCTTCAATTAACTTTAAATCATAGTCAAAGAAGACCANCGGATATTATACCGCCACGATGAGAACAATATAAAGTTCGAACTGATAGTTCTGTATTATACCTATACATATAATTGTTAAAAATATCAACAATAATTTTCGGATAAAACGAAAACTTCTAATTCAAATAGGTATGTGACAGAAAAATTATAGGTATTTACCTAATTTATAAATTAAAATTTTATATTTTAAACAACATAATTTAACATTTTAAATTATGTTGTTTCGTTTATCCGTCATATTGAAATTTCTATATGAACAAAATAAGTAATTAAAGTGCTTTACTGTTATACTTACCTATCAGTTTTTATGCGCTTTATTTTTCAACATGTTTTGTTGGATAGTAAAGAATTAAGGACCAGGTATTTCTCTACTTCCATTTAATATGATATCCCAATTTTGATTTACTTCTATATTATTGAATATCGCTAGGCCTATACAAATAATTAGTTATTAGTTTTAAAGACGGTTGTCGCTTTCAGAGGCAACACCTTCTACGAGAATGCACTCAAAATTTTACTTAGCCCTGGGCCAACCAATGAACATGTATTATTTATGTGAGACACGCCTAAGGGGGTACGAAATGATTTATATATTTAATAACCGGAAACGAATCCTTCAATTAGCTTTTTGGTTATTTATTTGCGAAACACTTTGTGGAAGAAATTAATAATTACTGACTTTCTTGTCTGATTCATGTCGGTTTAACTTTAGCGTGAGTCAAAATAGGGAAAATATTCCACCTGTAACGCAATTAATGTAAAAAAATATACCTACAATTCGAGCGGAGCCAATATGGTCATTTAGAAAAGCAGTAATGTTTCTATTTCAGTTTTGTTCACTTTGACAATTATTATTGTCTGCCAATCGCTCATCGTCCTTTTAGTTTCGGCATTATCAAAATAACAACAACTGTTATTTATTACAATACCAATGAGTGTTTGATATATACAGGCTGTTCAAATTCGCTTCTTATTACACGGATCTCGAAAACGGTATGAGATACAAATAACTTAAATGGGGGCAAAGTTGCGTAATCAGAGGACCAACATTATGCCTCTAAAAAATTAAGACTAACATGATTAGTTTTCGAAATATTTGAAAAAAACCGAATTTTGGAAATCCGTTTTTGTTTCATTTCAGCCTTGTTTGAGGTGATATTGAAAAAAGGAGAACACTTTTTGCCCTCTATCGAATGGCATAATCAATTTTTATATGTAACGTTTCGTCTCTCCGGGATCATCACCAACTTCATTTTTTTTAAATACGACCCTGGAAATTTTATTTCAATGTTTGCAAGCCTTCACGACTCCCAATACCATACTGCCTCAGCCCCAACCAAATTCAGACGTTTTGTCTGAAAAATTTATCTTGTTTATTCGTTCCAAATTTATCTAAATTTTTTTTTTAGATTTTCTTTGTTTATTCGTACACTGTAAGTTAGACCTTGTGATATCCATCTAGTTATTTAAACTATTACCACCACGCATTAAAATAAAACATTATTATAGTTTTATTCCCGTGTCCATAGTTATTTTTAGGCTTCTTGAGTGCTCAAAATTCAAACAAATTCCGATCTATTTTTTTCAGGATATTCATACAAATACAACTGATATGCTCTTTCACAGTTGCGGTTACAGATATAATAAATTCCGATAATATTACCGCTGATCTTCATTTTCAACCTTTGCGAAAACGAAAATGTTTTTGAATATTTACTAAAATTTTTTAAAGAATAGTAATCTGTTGGCGTTTTGGTTGTTCATATGCATGTTTAAGAATTAATTTGTCATAATAAAATTAAAATTGTAATAATGTTTTAATTTTGACGCAAAAGTGATGGTAATAATAAATGTTTTATTGTAACGCGTGGTGGTAATAGTTTATATAACTAGATGAATTTCACAGGGTCTAACGACACTTACAGTGTACGGTAATTCAAGAAACAAAAGAAAATAAAAAATTTACATAAATTTAGAACGAATACACTGAAGATGAATTTTTCGAGACAAAACGTCTGAATCTGGTTCGTGCCGAGGCAGTACAATATTGAGGGTCATGAAGGCGTTCAAAAAATGTAATAAAATTTCTAGGGTCGTAAAAATTGATTATGCCATTCCATACAGGGCAAAAAGTGTCCATGAGAAAGTGTTCTTTTTTTTTTCAATATCACCCCAAATAGGGCTGAAATGAAACAAAAACGAATTTCCGAAATTTCGGTTTTTTCAAATATTTCGAACACTAATCATGTTAGCCTAGATTTTTTAGAGGCATAATGTTGGTCCCCCTGATTACGCAACTTTGCTCCCATTTAAGGACGGGATTTTGTACAAAAAATATCGCCCAGCGTAAGTCACGAAACGGTACCCCGGCAAGTGCTGCTCTTGCTCTAGCGGCAACGCTTCAAGGTGTGTTGTTTAATAATTTACGCTGGACCTATATTTTAACAGGCCTCGCGCCCGATTGTTCAGGAACGGCTCCAATTTGTGTACATACAGTCTTATAAGGAAAGAGAATAAAGATTTTATTAATCATTAATAGATTATCGAGGACAATAATAATTTTTTTATTAAGTAGGCAATAATTCTTAGTTAATAAGCTTAAACAATCTTAGAATTACCATTCCTTTATTATAAAAGCAGATATAATTTTTTAAATTCCATGTAGTTTCTTCTTCAAAAGCTTAAAAAACGTTTAACAGGAATAGTCAACAGTCTAATGTTTATATTTTTACCTACGACCACTACTGTAAATACTTAAAAACACACCGTCTGCGATCAATACAATACTGTTTGTATTGAACGTTGCTAGGGGGTTGCTAGGAAAACTGTACGATTTTTTTACCAAGCTGTGCGATTTTTTTACCGTACGTAAAATAGGAATTTTACATTGATTGCAGACGGTGTGTTTTTAAGTATTTACAGTAGTGGCCGTAGGTAAAGTATAGTACGTAATACGTGGTGTAATGCAATTACGCACTCATAGAATTACGCACTCGCCGCTACGCGGCGTCCTGCGTAACTTTTCCATTCGTGCGTAAAATGCTTTTTACAACACTTATTACGTAATATGTTATAGGTACTATAAAACCACCGTCACAAATTCTGTCAATTTTGTGTCAATTTGAGAACTCGAATCGGCGGTAAACAAAATTGATTGTCATTTCAGAAACAAAAGTTAACTTGGAGACAAATTTGAAAGTTCAGAATTTCTCGTTTTTTTCAGATTGTTGATAAGTCTGTGGGAAGTCAGGAATTTTTTTTAAATCAACAATACCTTGGAAAATGAATAGATGTTATTTCAACGAGTTTTTAAACTATGACATGAAAATACATTTCTCAGATTTCCTCACATCTAATAGGATCGATGTCTTGATGTTTTTTTTTTGTCAGTTGGTATAAACTTTACTAGAAATAATTGGTTTTCTAAAGTTACAAGTAAAAGACACTACATGAAACGAAAAAGTCGCTAAATATATCTACTCTAGAGTCTAGTCTACTAAGTATGTAGGTATTTAAAAACAGTTGGCACTTACGAGACCCGGTGGACCAGTAAGCGTATGCGTTTTTCCACTTCCCGTTTGACCATAACAGAAACAGGTACATCTGAAGCCTTCCACAGACATTTCAATGAGTCTCTTCATTCCGGAGAACTGAAGGACGTCTTCCTGAGTTGCAGCTGGTTCGAAGACAACGTTATATGAAAACAGTTTCGGTTTTTGACCTCCGCTGGGCCCGCCAGGTATCCCGTCCACCTTAATTAAAATAATTATTTATTACCTTATTGTTACGGGCGGAGCACTTGGAACCGCTAAAGTAAATTTTTAGTAATTTTTTTTAGAGAAACATTTTTAATTTCTGTTTGAATTTTTCATGAACAGTTGTGTGCTACTTATAAAATATTATTTGCAAGTGCATATATCGATTTATGAGGATAAATTTTCAGTGTTGCTATTTACCTCTGGACTTCATAGATTTGATGCAATGAGTATATTGAGAGAAGCACATTATTTTCTATTGAATCTATATTTTTTGTATATAATTTCACAATTTCATCCATAAGAATAAGAGCAAACTGTTTTATTTTGTTTGGTTAAAATTTGTAGCTAAATTACTAAATCCTTAATGGATTTACACAATTAATCGTACTTGTACTACATATCTTATAAAATATGAACCATATGTATATCTATATTATATAAAATATATCTCATTTAATGTGTAGTAACTGAGAATGCAACTTCAGTGATGGGCCTTAGCGGGTCCCGTACGTCAAATGTGCTATAATCTATAAATATGTCTAAATCATTGTTTATGTGAAAAGTACTTAAATTTAAAGTATTTAGTAGTCTTATGAATTCAAAATTTCTGTAAATACTTTTTTAAATACTTTCATTAGATTAATTTTAATCTCTTACTTTCAGGAAGTTTATCTGAATTGGAATTGACGAACACATATTTATAAAAAAATTAATATAAGTTTATTAATACGAAGAAAATCCTCAAAAAAAATTATGACTATATTTGGATACCTAAGAGACGAAATATTAATATAATAATTTTTCACGATTTAGTACAGAGCCTTATGAGAATGCAGATTTTTTTGGTATTTCCGCTTAGAATGCGTAGCAATTGACAAACAGTTTTTACAGCAACTTGTATAAATAGGAAACCGATATCTAGGGAACTGTATGACAGCTCGTAGAAATCGATTAGGTACTTGTAAGATACATAATTTATAATAATTCTCCTTCAAACTGCTGTTGTTGATTAACTTAACGTCCATATGCGTGATAGCGGCAACGCCGCGGTTCTCGCAGTAGCGTATTATTTGAAAGTCGCAGGTGTGACATATGGTGTATATTTCAAGCTTAGGCATCCAAACAAAGCCAGCCAAGTGCAGCGTTGCCAAATCTAAAGGCTTACTACTTTAGTCACTAGCGAATGTACAGAAACTCTCGTTAGACTTTTAAACGTACCTCCGTACCCGATAAACCTCCTTAATAAATTAAGAAATTTTACATCAACAACTTTGTGTGGGTTTTCTTCTATTGCACTAATTTACACTCAAAATATAAAATTTGTAAAATAAAGTGATTTTGCCTATATAACAAGAAATTTGGTACACAGTAGTAGCTCCGATGGTTGTAGGTAAGGTTATGTAACAGTAATCGAGACAAAAATGATACGCCGTTGATTTTTTTGAAGTTTTGAAGACAAGTCCGTAGAGTGTCATATAAAGATTGAAGACTTTGACTCTTCAAATTTTGTTATTGTTATTAACTAACAAATTATAAATAAGTCGTGAAATAAAAATTCTTATACATAGCATAAGTGATTACAAGTCTCCTAAAGAATAATATTTATTTTGGCATTTTAAACTAATTTTAAATACATAAGAATAATAAGTAATTCATACTTAACGTGTATTTGTTAAAATATTTCCGGTTAATCGATACATCATAAGACTTATTTTGATTATGATGGCGGACAGTTCTAGAATAGCCCAAAATACTTAACCAACTATTTTGTCAATATGTCTTCGCTTAGCTGTTTTTTTTTTTTTAATGGAATGGTCGAGTAATTTGAACCTTCTATAATAGTCATCATCGTATAGACCTACATAATTGTATAGACCCACACAATTCGAACTATTTCTATTATGTAAAGAACTGTCGGAGCGCTCCACAAGGTTAAACGAGAAATAATCTTGGCTTCATTTATTTGTTAATAAAAATGGTGCTAATGTACAGGGTGTTAATAAACTTATGTCAAAAATTGAAAGGGGTAAAATAGGAGCAAAAACTGAGTTAACTGTCACAAACTTGTATCGGAAGTCTAAAGTCATAGGGAAAAAAGCTAATTAAAAATATGTCTAAAACTGTTTTGGAACTGCTAAAATACATGTATTTGATCGTGGCGAGTACTTACAATAAATTCTGTAACACTGTTTACAAGTTTGCAGGTTTCCTATGAAGCCGGACTGTATTTGAAAGTCGGTTTGTAATACATTGTTGCCGTGATTGCTGTGCTGTTTTTCTGTTTTTCGAAAGTACATTTAATAGCCGTATTTCCAAGTTTTCCTTTGAAAATGGGCGCATTAATTTTGACAATCGCGAATATTATGACATGCTCATAATCTATGGCGAAGCAAACGAAAATGCCCACAGAGCTTGTCAAGTGTACTGTTTAAGATATCTTGACCGCACCGCAAACATTTATTGCGGTATCGCAAAGAATTTTGGACACCGGTGAAGAACAACCGCGTCGAGGTCGCGACGGTGGCCCAGGGTGATCACTTAGAATCTTAAATGTCGAGGAGATGATTTTAGATCTCGTCGAAGATCCGCACTGTAGCAACAGAAATATCGCACAGCAAGTAAATATTTCGCATCCGGGCATTACTTACAAGAAGCTCAGTTGTACTCATTTCAAATTCAACGTGTTCAAGCGCTTACTCTTGAGGGTTTCCACTACGTCGACGTTTTTGCGAACGGTTGCTTTAGGAATATGCATGAATTCCTCCATTTACAGTGCAAATACTCATTACAGATGAGGTATGTTCTGGACTATTAGAAAATCCACACGAAATAAGTCGCGGTGCCTTTCAGCAACAGTTTTCAGTGAATATCTGGACCGGTATCGTTAATGGCACTTTAATAGGACCTTTTGAATTGCCTAGACGCTTAGACCGGGCTTCATATCTAGATTTTTTGCAAAATCGCTTGCCGGAGTTATTGGTAGACGTGTCATTAAATGTTCGGCAAAATATGTGGTTACTGCATGACGAAGCCCTCGCTCACTTTTTTCAGAGAGTGCGCGATTTTCTGTGAAAAGTGTTGTGTATTCCAAAGTTCGTGACATCGATCAACTGCGACGACGCATTGCCGAGAGGACATGGCAATGTTGCAACGCGTGCGAGCGAATTGAATACGTCGCGCTGAAGCTTGTGTGCAAGCAAATAGTGGGTACATCGAACATCTTCTATGAAAATCTGCAGTTCTCAAAAGGTGGCTCCTTGCATTGTTGAGGTAAGTCAGATTTTAAAATTACATTATACTCAGTACAAATCCGTGTATTTACCTCATTTTGATATAACGGACATGTGGCAAAAATATTTGACATAAGTTCGTAAGACCCTGTATTTTTAATAAAAGATATATTGTTTAAAGTAAAGCTGGGCTAAACCGTTATTTTATTTGATCAACGCTAACAATTCCTTTCTCGAAATAAAAAATAGTACACTGCCGGCCCTTTGAATGTGAACGATTTATTTTTCTAATGTGATGTGGTCTACTCTTCTTATTATGACGTTATGAAGTTTTTATATGTCAGTGTCATTAGTAATTTGCCTGGTAATTTAAAATGCCGCATTTAACGGAACCAAAGAAAGTGAGAGCTATAAGTCAGCTTCACAAAGGCCAATTATAGACAATTTATTATAAGAGTCGTCCACTTTCAAAGGGCCGGCACTGTACCTATCTGTACCTATACAGGGTGGTCCGTAAGTAATGGTCCGTAGAGACATACTAGATTTTTTACTTCAAAATATTACGATTGGAGCCAATATNTGTTTAATTGTCAAAATTAATGTTTTCATTAGCGCACACTACGATCAAATTTCCTGTAATGAAACATGCAGCAGATTGTTGAAATGTGTTTTTCTTGAAAACGGACAATTTCTAGAGCTAATGACAAGTATACCATTTTTTCACGAAAATAATGTAGGTTTAAGATTTTTTAAAAAAAGAAGCGTTAACGTTGTGGATAAAAAAATTATGCTCGTATTTACGTCATAAACACGGCGTATGTGGCGCCCTCTAGAAGATACATCGAAATAGATAACAAATTATGATTTCTCGTATACAGAAACATCTACCCCTAAATTTTCACGTTCATACACTCAAAAATATTATAATTATTACGAAAATTCAATTTTTAATTTCCAACTTTGACACCCTGTATCTTTTTTGTTATCAACATTTTATTAAGGCATGTTGGCTCCAATCGCAATATTTTAAAGTAAAAAAATCTAGTATGTCTGTATGGACCATTACTTACGGACCACCCTGTATATGAAACAAAAAGAAAAAAATTATACTTACCAAAATTTGTCCGTTTCCCGGAAACTGCACAACATAGTCATCACCTGACTTAATTTCCTTCTTGCTAAGTGGCCTGACCCTAAAAATGTATTATTCTTGTTGCTGTATACTTAGAAAATATAAGTAAACATTAAACAAATAAAGCATTGAAATTATATATTGCTAACCTCACTACAACGTTGATATTATCTTCTTCGTCACTGTAACTGGTTATTATTCTCTGAAGGTTATTGTCTTCATCAAATCTTTCAATACTGCCATTTCTGGAAAAATACATTCATACTAAAAACATGACATTTTAATTATTAATTAATTTTATCCACGATTCAATACATTATGTAATATTAATAAATGAGAAAATAAGTTTTATGTGAAAACCTGAAGGTTGAAGTTCGAAGGTTAAATCGATTCATCTATATTGCATGAACTTAAGATCCTAAAGAATTCTAGAGAACTCACGCTAGTTTCGTCGAAAATATAACGTTTGGTAAATCCATTGTTATGCATACGGGAGGCTAATAGACATTTTAATAATTAACCAGGCGAAAACCACAACTAGCACTTGTTTTATTTATGAAATGTTAGTAGCAGCCGAGGCTTTGGATATTTTATAAATAATGGACAAATTCGATCCAAATTGGCAAAACTAAGTGTTTGATAAAAATAAATTTATAAGCATTGCAACTTCAATCCATATTTCTGAAATCGTAGGTTAAATTAGAAAAAGTTTAATTTATTTATGTGTTTTAAGACAAAATAAATACATCTGAGAAATTATTTTATTATACAGGGTACGTGTACAATGAAAGGCAATAAATTCCTGTGCTCAAATAGGTTGATTTCAGTTAAATCACCGCTAGATAGCCTCAAAGTTCCTGAAAAATTTTTGAATTTTTAAAATATGTTATTAATTTTTATTGATACATTTCAGTGTTATACAGAGTGTTTTATAAAACTTGCAACTGCTAGAAAGTTGATATATGGCGAAAACATCCGTCCATAGCATTTAAATTTCTTAACTGAGTAATTTAATCACTTGTCAATTTAATATGACGTTTATCAAATAACGAGAACAGCCCACTATTCAAAACCATGAAATGTTAGAAATTATTATAAAATTAAATATGAACAAAAAAAATTATAACTCGAAAATGGTTTATTGTGTGAAGAAAATGTAAGTGACCTTTTTTAAACGCGCCTATTAATTTTTCTGAAAATCTAGTGGCGTAGTTTTTCTGAGGGTTTTTAATGACAAAGCTCCCCTGAATCTGCGCCACTGGTTGACAGATTTATATAGAAATACACCGAATTATTACCTTTAATTAGTTACATCATTTGCCCAAGTTTAGTCAATCTACGTCAAACAGCTTCAGAAATAATTGAAAAAATATGAAATTTTTCAAAAACTTTAACGCCCTCTATCTTGGAAACCAGTAACTTTAGGGCTTTGGTTTATTAAGGCTTTTGGGCCTAAAATGACCATAGGAATCACCCCTTTATTTATAACATAAACTTAGGATACAACTTGTACATATGTAAAAAAAACTGGATGTTACTGTTTCCTTTCTTGCAATCTATTGTTGGTATAAGAAAATATAAAAACATATTTAATGATAGAAACAATCCTTAGAGAAACGTTTATTATTAAATAGTACTTCAGCCAACCAGCTTATTTAATTTCAGTACACATGTGTCAGAAAACAAGGGTACAAAAGTTTATTGCCTTCGCATTAATATGAAATTGGCCCAGATGAATATTTAATTACGCCTTACATAGTTTGACATGTCGCAGAGAAGTAAATTAAATTGAAAAGGTACTTTATTACTATACGGAAGGAAGGAAGGTTTAAGTATTTCGTCCAAATGTTACCCTCGCGTGACAAAATTCCTTTTTGTTAAAACGTGATACATTTAGGCATAAACGTACGAATGAAAGTAATAGTAAGTTCATCTACCGAATCTCATTACAATAATATAGTAACTATACGGGAATCGTATACTCTTTACTGTCTCTAAGTCTTTCGAATAATATTTTTAATCTTTACCAATTTTGCCAATACTTTTAATATTAAGAATGTAACAAAATAAATACTTTACGTTTATTTAATTCAAGTTTTAAACATAAGCATTCTTATATGTACTGCACCTTCTTGATCATTGGGATCAATCTATACTGAAGATATCTTTTTTTTTAATTAATTACTACTAAGTACTAGAAAATTGATATTAATTGATAGGTGTAATACGTTTAGCAATAATAAATATAATAAGTTACCGATGCATATTAAAAAGGTAGGTAAATTACACAGCCCCACAAAAATAGAGTTCTGTACCAGATACATGAGTAAATAGATTTTGTGTATTTTTTGATGCTGAATCCGAATTAACAGCCCGAAAATAATCGGGATTCGGACTTCAGATTCGTAATCAGCGACCCCAAAAACCCGCGGTAACAAAATTTAAGCAAAGATATTGAACAGAGGTAAAAGGTTAAGTGGGACCCTGATCCGTAGATGGTTTTTCACATTGTTTTGCACTAACATTCCTTATTTGTTCTTAGGAGTGGAATTAACCCCTTCGTAGGGGTGGGTGTGGATTTAATTTGCGTATATTGCTTTCCAATGTTCAAAATATGTTTCCTCAGAGAACAAATTGTTGCATTTCATTATAAAGCTTTACCTTATCCTCAGTACTTCACCCTATTTCAGGGAATATTTCAGCGTTTTACTAAAAAATGCCCTGGTAGATCAGTTTTAGGGCTACGGATTCGGATTCAGCATAAAAAAATACACAAGATCTATATACACATGTCCCTGATACATAACTTTTTTTGGTGGGGCTGTATTATTATATTCCTTTTCTAAATAAAGTAAAATTAATTTTAGTGTAATACATTTTTTAATTTTCAGAATAGGTTATACATTTAAACGTATGTTTGATCTTTTTTAAAACTGACAACTTTCGATATATTGTATAAACAAGGTTTTATGGAATAAGGATATTATTATTGTTTCTATCAGTTTTATTATTATTGTTTGTATTGTTATTGCTATTGTCATTGTCATTGCTTTTGTTATTGTTGTTGTTATCATTATTGTTACTGTCTATTGCCATTGCCATTGGCATTGCCTATGTCTTTGCGTTTCTGTTTGTTTTTGTCTTTGTCTTTGTATTTGTGTTTGTTTGTTTTTATTTTTGTTTTTGTTTTTGTTTTTGTTATTGTTATTGTTATTGTTATTGTTATTGCTATTGGTACTGTTAATGTTACTGTTATTGTTATTGTTATTGTTATTGTTATTGTTAGTATCGTTGTCATTCTCATGTCAATATAATGTTATGGTTATCGTTATTGTTATTGACATAAATTAAGAAAGCGGGTTTCTACATATACAAAAAACAATGTGCTAAAAATTGTGTTTGATTTCAAAAGAAAAAAATCAACGACGGTATTTATGAACAACTTCTTTACCTTATTTTATTCATAGATAACTTGATTATTAGTTAAGCATTACATATTTTTATTATCTATGCTGTGCTAGTTTCGGCTATAAATACCTTTACATATGAATATTATATTTCATAATTTATTTCAAAACTGAAACAACATTGTAGCACAGTAATATGACATGCAACGTATTGTCTTGTATTCGTCAATAAAATAAGAAATAGCTTGAAATAAAAAGACAGAAGCCAAATAATTAATATGACAAGCGTGTAGATAGCAGAAAATCAAAAAGGAAAACTGCAATACCAAATCCTACTGTAATGGCTCAGCCATTTTTGGAGATAAAAATGAAACATATTTTCTTTAAACTTAAAAAATCCAGTACCTATTTTGAAACCCAAATTTTGAAAATGCATATTTGTATGAATTTTTTTCAAAATTTTTATTATGAAATACGTCAATAAATTTAAAGTTTGGCCAAGCATTTTAGTTATACACTTTACAATAGCTAATAATCTTTAATCATCAAATAAATCAACTATTATAATAATAAAACAAACCTATAATATTTTATTCCTTTGAAATGTCTGATCGTCGACTGTAAAATGTTCCTACATTCATATAAATCCAAATGTACATATACCATTTCACAAATCAGGTGTAGTATTTATGACAAATATATATTTAATAATACAGTCAATCTGATGATATGGCTAACTATCCTATAATTTGGAAAATGAAGTATGTATTGTGGACAATCAATATAAAGCATATTTTTACTACATGCTAATACAGCTGAATTGATAGGGTTAGATAAAGGTAAATACGGTTCCCTGAAATAGGCTTATCATGAGTTTACTGAATACTACCAAGGTCGGATATAATCGGAAAGTTTATGAAAATCGATACCTTTGAACATGTTACGTGCATAAGTACGGTGACAATTACTTTTTTATTAGATGAAATTAATGTGTTATTTTATATAGGTCATAATGTAAATATGCAGGGTATTCGGTTAATAATGGGCCAAATGTCACTAATAGATTCTACTCCTGAAAATTTTGTGGAAAATTCCCGAATACTGTAGCCACTGAGAAAAACCACTTGCTTATGAAATTTGTCCAGTTGTTGGACACGTCCAAAATGATGTCTATAGCATTAATTTGAAGCGAGCTGTAGGTGTTAATATCGTGTTATATCGAGTGTCCCAAAATTCACGAAAGATTTTAATTTTGCACCATTTGTGCGGTAAAGTCTAGTCAAAGAAAAAAAAAGACAGTGTGACAGCTGACAGTTCAGGGTTAGTAAAAATGGAACGCTAGGCGAAAGGACAACGCGGTTTTATTGTTGAGCAATATTTTAATAATAATGAAAGTTTGACAGCTATAGTGCGCAATTCTCCTACAAAATATGGTCAGAATCATGGCTGTGCAACTAGCATTGCCAGATTCGCAA